CTGCTGAAATCTCCCCTGACTCTTTTAGCCTTCCCTTAATTAGACAGGGACATGCTAGTTGTGTTCACGCTCACTTTCTGCAGGGCTTTGTGTCAAGTAGAAGAAAAGGACAGCAAACAACTTGCCAGGCATAACAAATCAACCGTTAATGCGCTGTTAATGCTCTGCAGGGGGAGGGATTTTTTTTTTTTATTGGTTCAGATGGACTAATCCCTTTTTAGAGTTAACATCTTCAACCTGACAGGTGAAGAGAATTCTAAATTACGCCCACAGAATTCCTGTGGAAGGTTAGAGTTGCACAGTATGCTTTGGTACCTAAATATCTATGTCTTAGTCCTTTATCCTTAGCAATTGTTTTGGAATTAGTGGAGGACTGTTCTGATTCTTTTCCTGTCTACTCTTAGTGATAAATCACTATCATAGAGAGGAGAAAGTGTAGCCCTTTTGGACAGAAACAAGGCTTCTCTTAAATGTATTGATACCGAAACACTTAACTGCATATGTACTGCAGGGGCTAATACATCTGAAAAGCTGAACAGAACGGAGATATTGTGATTAGTGAACTCTGGACTAATGGGAAATTACAGGATGTCATTAGAATTTTCTGAAACCTAATATTGGATTGGTTTGAGTCTGATTAGTTTTAATTGAGTAAGATCTTCAGACTATGAAGCAAAAAATCAGGCACATCTGTATTGGGATTTCTCCTGCTGTCCTTAAAGGACACTCACTTCTCTTGTAACAAGCTCCTCTTTGGGCATGTGGCAAAGGGATAAACCATCAGGTAGTCTTCTGCCAATGCTGCAGATAGACTGCACCATTAACCCTGTAGGCAAAGCTGATGTCATTCAAGGCGGGGTGGGGGGGGGGGAAGTATTTTTCCCCGGCCTCCTGAACATGAGACTGAGAAGCAACTCCTTACCTAATGTTCGCCTGGTGCTAGACTGGTGTAAGGGACTTGTAAATTTTACCTATTTTTATGCAAATTCATTGACTGATCTTATTTATGAATAGACTTTTCTATCCTCACGTGTGGACTTGGGGTGAAGCTTTGCTTTTTCTGTCAATTTTGCCTGGATTGTGATACTTAGGGCCAAGCCTACAAAAATATCTCACAGAGCTAAATTTCTGCAGTGACTTTCAGCATCCCTCAGCATAAAGTCGGCAAGATACCAGAGCAGTCAGACAAACCAGATGTAGTTTTAGCACAAGAAGGAGCAGTGGCATATGCTTTCTGGGGAGTAAAAGAAGATGCTACAGCCTCACCTTTCTCCTTTAAGGTGGTTATATATGCTGGCAAGGCACCAGCTCGCGGGGCCTCTAGAGCCATGCCTGGCTCTTAGCCTGAGCGTTTATGCAATTCGGAACTAAGCCACAGAGCTGCTGACCTCTGTGAAGGGCAGAGAGTCTTCCTCGGTGCATTCAGAGAAAGCTTTCCCATGCCCTGAGACAGGAGGTGAATCTTTGACTCGGGCTGATGCTGAAGTGCCCCAGTCTCACATAACATTTGGGGCCAGATTGTTCTTTACATGGCATAGGTATAGTGTGTTCATTAAAACTGTTTCCAAATCTCAGTGGTCTCCGAGACAGAAATTGGGCTGTTTAGCAATAACATATAGGTTTATTTTTTTTATTTGCTCTTATTTCTTGGGTATTCTAGCACCAGACCTAGCGTAACACGCTTCCCTCCTCTTGGAAAACCTCTTGCAGCGTTTTACATAACTCTTCCTGCAGAGTTGACTCCCGGCGCTGGTGCGAAGGTGCAGAGGCTGTAGCTGTGCGAGGGAGGGTGGATGCGCTGTTTTATCTTCTCCTTGGGAGGCTGGAGTTAAGGAAGGCACTTTCCAGTCGTGGAGTGCTGTGCCAAAAGCCTGCGGGAAAGGAGGGGAGATAAGAGTGCTCAGATCAATTGCCCTGAGTGGGAATAAGAGGAAGGGAGAAGATGACCCCTGGGGGCTAATTAGCATGCTGTGTAGACATTTGGTGTCGTGAACAATGATCCTATTATTATCGGGCTTCATAATTAATAGATAATGAATAATTAATGAAGCATCATTTAACTGTAGTCTGGACTTCCATTCAAATGGAGGTTTTTGCAGTCATTAGGAAGAAATCCTTTTCCTTGTATTGAAAAATGCAATGCGCTTTCGAGTGCGGTTGTGTGTCTTCTTTTAATCCGTTAAATATTTAACTGTTGGGATCTTAGCTCAGAGATGCTTTAGAGGGGAGCTGCCAGCCCTGTTATATGTATATAAACCAGGTTTGCAAGGCGATCTCCGTTGTAAATATCTTTTTTTTTTTTTTTTTGCAGCCCCAGCAATGTTTCTATTACTCTTTTTCATGGTGCAGTGATTACGAATAGACTTCCTCTTTTTTTTCTTCTCTCTTTCCTTTAACTTGCCCTTTGAACTTGAGTGACGTATGGTCATTTTAAATCAGTAGGTGCCCTGCCCAGATAATGTTAACATCTAATTTCAGGGCTTATCTGATACATCAGCAAAAATCCTTCCAAAGGAGGAGCTTCCAAAAGGGGATGCTGCAGAAAAAGGAGGATACATCAATGGGATTGTCAAGCAGAGACTTAAAACGCCCCCTCTTTGAAAGCAGGGGCGACATCCCTGGCAATGCTGCTCTTGAGCCTGTAGATGAGAAACTAAAATCTCCTTGGGGAATGGCAACTTCCAAAAGCAGCATAATGCTCATGTCTTTATTCTAATATGGTCATTTGCTTTTCATTTTGAATGAAGTAGCTGTTTACATAGTAATCAGCAGACACTTACGTGCACAGATTGGACAATATGCTGACAGGTTCAGGGTGTTTGTGACTCGATTCTGAATAATTAAGTATTACTCTTTGCAATGGCTGGGGTTCATGAGGAAGCCTTAGGAGGAGAATTAATCTTAAGGAGGAATGATTTTTTAGAGCATGGTGTAGCAGATTGCCGTGCAGTGTGACCTCTGAGGATGTGAGACACAGTTGGCGAGTCTGCTGATGTGATTCGGGCAGAGCCTTGGACCAGGGTGAGGGAATACTCTGAGCTGGCTGGCGAAGGAGGCGCGACCGCGTGGCTTTCCTGTGCTTCCTAAGTCCTCCCAGGCAGTTGTTCTTCAGTTAAGTGTCTCAGTGCTGAAACCATGAAATGAGCGTAAAACTTCATGCGGGGATCTTGAGATATGGTTTCACTGGTCTTGACATCCATCTCAGCTTTTTGAAAGTCTTTTAACATGTGCTTATTACAGTTCAGGACCTCAAGGGTCTTGGTTATGAAAAAGGGAAACCGGTTGGTTTGGTGGGTGTGACGGAGCTCTCTGAAGCCCAGAAGAAACAGCTGAAGGAGCAGCAGGAGGTAATGCCCTGAAATGATTTCCAAATTCATTTGTGTACCAGCATATTGCATTGCAGCATGGCTGGGTTAGATGGGAAAATGGAGGTGGAGATAGCAAAGAAACTTTCCCAATGGCCCACAAATAAATCTCTAGGATTTGTGCTGAATGCCTAAAAATCCTGTGATGCTGCAGTCAGCAGAAATATTAGAGGACTTTAGGGAATATGAATTAAGCCAGCCAATTGCTGTCCTACCAAACTAAAACCCAAAATCTATAAGGTCTGTTGTGTCACATCTGCAGCCGATTATGTATTGCTGTAGCAGTGGGGAGAAGGTGAGTGGGTACTTGCAGGCTTTGGGGGAGTGAGAGCGGAACTGGCTTTTGCCAGGACGGGAGGGTGATGTTTAAACTGTGTGGGGATGATCAGATGGCAGCAGTCCTCAGCGTTAATACCAAGGTACTTCTGTTGGAGGAACTGGCACATAATGTTCCTGTTTGAGCTGAGAAGCGAGTGGATCAGACCAAGCAACAGCACTGCCTGTCGGGGTTTGTAGTTGTCGTAAGCTGTACTCTGCACGGCAGCTGGGGCGGGTGCGGGCTCCGCTGCAGAACTCTGCGTGCCTCTGGGGCAGACGCCGCTGCCTGCGAACGGGGTGTCTTACTGAGTGTGCTGTCACATCTCTTCCCCTAGATGCAGCAGATGTATGACATGATCATGAAGCACAAGCGAGCCATGCAGGAGATGCAGATGATGTGGGAAAAGGCGATTCAGCAGCACCAACATGGCTATGACAGCGATGAAGAGGTGGACAGTGAGCTGGGAACATGGGAGCACCAGCTTCGACGCATGGAGATGGACAAGACGCGAGGTTTGTGGGGAGCTACCGTGCAAACGACTGTCTTGCTCTGCAGTTGTACGAAAGCCTCCAAAGGGAGATGTCTGAGATCACGTTGTTGGCATCAGAGTTGTAGGGTCACTTTTCTCTGGTCTGTGCTGTGTCTTCCCTGCCTGTTGAGTGGGGATAATGACCGTCTGTTGCTGTGAGGCTTTATGCTTCACAAACCCTCTGAAATTCCAAGTCAAAGAACGCTGCGTTATTGCTGTTTTCTCTCCTCTGTGTCTTGGGCAGAGTGGGCTGAGCAGCTGACACAGATGGGCAGAGGGAAACATTTCATCGGAGACTTTCTTCCACCTGATGAGCTGGAGAAATTCATGGAGACGTTCAAGGCATTGAAGGTGAAATAGTAGAGACTTCACAGGGTGGTTGCAATGTGGGAAAGAGCTCAAGCGTGTCTTAGTCCTTTTTCACAGCAGTCAGCTACCTTGCAGCCTTAAGGTACTTCTGCCCTTACACTGGAGCTCTGTTACTTCTGGAGGAAACAAGGGGTTAGTTTTTTCGCTCTTTGCAGAGAAACGACTGTAGCAAATTAGAGGACAGACTATTGGGACAGTATTTGGGGGTTAGTTGAAATTATAGACAAGCCTCTCCGACTACCCACCATTTGTCTGCTGTTCCTGTTTTGGATAAGTGGTTGCTGATGCCAAGCAAGGAAAACTTTAATTTTTATCCAGACGATTGCAGTAAAGAGAAAATATAAAGCCTGCAAGAAGCTTATGCAAAGCACTTCAAAACCTGCCAATTCTTCCTAAACTGTAGAACTTCTTGATGCTGGCGCATCCCTCATAATGTTTTCGTGTAACCAGTATGAGGTCTGACGTCCCCTGGAGATCCTGGCTTAAATAAGAACTGTATCTGAAGCTTGATCCAGTGAGCAACTTTAAATTCATGAGCTAAATATTTCTTGGCTTTAATCTCACAGTAGCATTCCCTGCTTCTTGCAGATTATGTTGTAGAGCTGTGCAGTGCTTTATCATTTACCCATTTTCTTCTCTGTGTTGGTGCGGAACTGGAACCCCAAGAAATCGTGCTAGTTATTAATTGTTTGCCAGAACCATCCTGACTTTGAGTAGCTGAAGCAGGTTTTCCCCTCCTCTGACCCACAAAGATAAGTGCATATAAAAAATAACCAACACTACCTTTTGTGTCTCTGCAGGAAGGACGTGAGCCAGATTATTCTGAATACAAAGAGTTCAAACTGACTGTGGAAAACATAGGTTATCAAATGCTAATGAAGATGGGCTGGAAGGAAGGCGAGGGACTTGGCTCGGATGGACAGGGGATTAAAAACCCAGTCAGCAAGTAAGCAGAGTTCTTCTATTGATTTAGTCCTTTCCTCTTGGGCTGATAATTGATGCTCCTACCCTAGCCTACTGGAAGCAGCTGCAATGAATATGACTGTAATTCATCACTTGAATATGGAATCCTCACAGCAAAGGAGAAAAATCGTTTCTGATTTCTTTGGGGTTCCCTCCCCCCAAGGCCTGGGTTTGTTACTTTATCTCGGGCAGGAGGTATGATCTCAGCCAAGAGTATTTTGTTTCTAATCTCAATTTGTGTAGGTGCCTTCTTCCGAGACATGCCTTCTCCCCCGGTTTCCCCATCTATAAAATGAAGATAACACTTGTCTGCACCTCACCTCTCCCAGGCCATATGAGGATTAAGTCATGTCTTTCAAGTCATAAATTTATTTAAGTATTAAAGAACGTGCCTTTTGCATCTGAAGTGCTGTTGGTGCCTGCTAGCTAGTCCCTGGTGTACTGTGGATGAAAGGCGATTACCAATATTTGCTACTGCTAGACCTGTGTTTGAAAGATGTTTCAGTCCGGATCAAAGAGCTTTGTGTGTGATCGTCACTCTTTTGCACAGAAGTCTTCTGATTCGGTGACACTTTGCATATAATAAAGCTTTATGAGAGTTCTGTCCAAAAATAGATGAGCATCTCTTTTTAGGTGGATCATCTGTTGGTAACATATGCTAAACTTCAAAACCAAATACTGGGGGTAGGAGATAGTCTGAATCGCTTTTTAGCGTTAGATCCTGTTAGAAATAATAGTTGTTTGTTTACTGCGCATTAGAAAGTATTTCTACAAAGCACTTCTGCTCCTCTTTCGCAAGAAGATCTCTCTGGCCACGTGCTTATTGGTTCAAAGAAGTCCTGTGGTAAAAGATCACTGTGATCAAAACAGCAAGGCTTGCAAACAACAGAAGGCAGGCAGTTTCTGTCCGTCACAGGGTTGAACAAGGGTTGTGATTTGCTTGGGCTCTACCATCTCTGATGTTCTTAGAATGGCTAAGACGGTGCTACTGCAGACGGAAGGGAATTGCTTCCGCTTTTGGATGGTTCTGGAGTGGAGGAATGGGAGGCAGGCACGTTGTTTTAACAGTTCTGTCTGCCTCCAGTCACCGAGGCACAAATTAACACACGTGGTTGCCAAAGGTTAGTCTGGCAGGCAGAGCTCCGTTCGGTAGGGAGGCATCCAAAGCATAGCTGGTATTGCTGTTCCAGCTGTAAAATGCTAAGCAAATATATGTTGACACTACTGCTTCCATCGAACAATAGCAAGCGTCATTGATCTGGAAAGGCAACGTAGAAACATGGCAAATGCAATAAGCTGCTCAGTATTAGCTGTCTGTCTTGATGCAGCACGCTCTGTGTGACGATGCCCAGTGCTCCATGACGCTTGTTCTCTGAGCAGGTATTTCTGGTGAAGAGGAAGGTGACCTGTCACATCTTCTTACCTCGGAGACTTTGTTCCCTCTTTCCAAACAGGGGGACTACTGCTGTGGATGGAGCTGGTTTTGGCATCGATCGTCCCGCCGAGCTAACCAAGGAGGATGATGAGTATGAGGCATTCCGTAAACGAATGATGCTCGCCTACCGCTTCCGACCAAATCCATTGGTAAGGTGGTCCTGAAAGCAGACCAGACACGGTGACAAATCCATTGAGGCTTTTGTGCGTATCTCGTACGGGTGGGAGTGTTTCTAGTGCTTAGCCAAGAGAACAAATGCTGTGAAAGTTTCCAGTTGATTCTGTTCTCATGCCGAATCAAATTATCGCTACCAAAACATCCGTGCACACACAGTTTTCCTTGCTATGATTTTTTTAATACAAAAAAATATTTTTTAAAATTTTATCTAGTACACACAAAGTATAAACTCTGCGCACAAAGGAAGCGGATGGGTTGTCCGTGAATCCATGGTTTATGTTGAATAATTGTTTTCTCCCTGTTGCAAAGGGCTTGTAAGTTTGCATTTTGTGTCTGCGTTCAGCATGCCAGCACACCTAGAAAGCTACTTTTGTAATTTTTGATAGGAAACCTCAGGTTTCACTGTCAGAAATGTCACGTTTCAGTGGCTTTTTCAGATAATTAAGATCAGATGCTCGTTGTGTGAAGACAGCAATTATGATTCATTTTCTCTTTGTTATTCCCCACAGAACAATCCACGACGACCTTACTACTGAGAATGTTTTTGGGACAATGTATTTTCAAAACAATTGTAATTTTACTGTGAAATGTTATGAAACTGCATTATCATTCTCTTATTTGCTAATATTGTAAAACTTACTGAAGTCACAATACCGTCTTTCACCCAGAAGAATGGCCTGCAAGCCCACTCACTGCAGTTGAGTGTCACGACGACCATGTCGTTACAAGGCCTGGGTGGTATTCAGAGAGCAGAACGGAGCAGGTGAGAACGGAGCTCTTCACGCGGTGCCGCGCTGACAGCGAAGGGTAGCACCAAAGATACCAATAGAAATAGTTCAGGGACTCCATTCGTGTTTCGCTCGGTGCCATGTTACAAGGAATGGGTTTTTTGCCTAACGACCGACCCGCCGATGTTCAGACACGCAGCTTGTGCTGCTCGTTGATTTTTGTTGTTTGTTTAGGGTTTTTTTGGTTTGGGTTTTTGGTTTTGTTTTTTTTTAATTGCAAATAGAACAGGGGACTGTCTCCAACCCAGCTTTTGGGGCTGTTGTTCAGTCAGGCTATTGTTCCCTGAAGAACTGGGTTCTGATGCTGTTACGAAGCCTGAAGTATAGTCTGACCTTCAACTGACATTGCGAAACCAGTGCCTAGTCGTTTTACCTCTGCCCCGTGGAAGACGAGGCGCAGATCGGTGCGTGGAGCATGGCTGCAAGGGTTGAGGGGTGCAGGGCAAGTTCATTCAACTTCAGAGGCGACAGCCTCTTGGTTTCTTGAACACTAAGTTCACCCAGCAAGAGACTTGCTAACACTTTCTGGGGATTGGGGTGCTGAAGAACCAAGCCTTCAAAGACAGTTTGTCAAAGGCCCTTTGGATTTTGTTCTCCTAAGAAACCCCTCTACAAATACACATTTTCTCCATTCAGTCTGTAAATAAACTCAGCCCATTTGTTCCTTAGTTTTACTCACTGAATTTTTTGAAAGAGTGGTCTTACTGTGGGTTTTTGTAGGCTGAGAGACTGTTCTAGATCCCTTTCCTCTCCAGGCATCTTAGAGAAAACAAAGTGAGGTTGGTTGGTTTGGTTTCTTTTGCATTTGTTTTCCCTCAGTCCGAATACTTGGCGTGTGATTCTCTTTTGTTAACTTTTCTTAACAACGTAGAGTCAAGGACTTGGCTTTCAATAAAAACATTTGAAACAGTAAATTCAGCAGAGGTTCATTCTGAGAAAAATCAAAGTGGGTGAGCACCTTGCAAACGCCTGGAGCTGGGCTTGCCGCCGCGCACGGTCTGCGGCACACTGCGTACGCTCGCTACGGCTTCCGCACGGGGATGTTGCACTTGGGATGGCTGATCAGCATGGGCAGTAATTGTGGAAGATTGGGAAATAAAGGATAAGAAATCTGGCAGGTCTTCAGGAGGGCCAAGCTTCTGCTCAAGTGATTAAGGTCACTGTGACAACTGCGCTTCCCTGGTAAGTTAGGACACGCATCCGTTCGGTTTCTCCCTCGCGTGGTAGTGCCGCTGGGTCTTGGTTCCCGGCTGGCGCAAGCCAGAGCCGCTGAGCTGGTTTTCCTGAATTACCAGAGCCTGGAGCACCGTGGGGCTGGGGCTGGGCTGCCCGTTTCAGTGCTGGGTTTTCTGCAGAAGCAGGGATTTGCGGGGAGGCTGCTGGAGAGCGAAGGCATTTTCAGAGTCTCTTCTTATTCCAACCGCGCGCAGGATGACATCCTTTCGGCGCTGACAGTAACCCGGTCCCTGCGTGGCCTTAAAGGCAGGGTGAGTGCAGACTTTCTGCTATTGCTGATCGGGTTTTCCAAGCTAAACTGATACTACAGCGATGCCGGTGTACTTCGTTGATGTCCCGTTGGCAGAAGTTGTTTTATTCCTTTATTTCAACACAGTAGCCTTGGTCTTCCTGACCCTCTTCTCTCGATAACTGCGTTCATCGATAGGTGCTTTGCTCTGCTCTGTTTTTTCTTAGATCATCGTAAGCCACGCGCTATTCCCCGTGCCCTGCTGCAGCAGGCGGGGCTCGGTAAGGCAAGCCCCAAGTCCTCCTTGCCATCATTAGCGACGTCGCGAGGATTTAATCTTCAGAAACCGAATCAAACGGGCGGCTGCTGCGGCACGCCCAGAAGGTCACCGAAGTCGGACTTTTTTAGACCAAAGAGTAAATTCCCGGTGCCCGCCGTGCGAATGCCGTGCCAGCTGCCTGGCCGGTGCCAACACGCGCGTGACTGAGCGCAAGTGCCGGTGGTGAGCGCGGCGCGGAGAGGCACCGTGAAAGCGCCCGGCTGCGGAGAGCGAAGGGGTTGGGGGCTTGTTTGCCCCGAGCGGCTGTTGCAAGAGCTGAGAGGCTGAAAAGACGCTTACGGAGGGTTGGGTGTTTGGGAAGACCCGAGGGTTACTGCGTGAAGTGCCCCCGGATTACCTGGTTTCACCCCCCCTTTCTTTTTTACCAGGGTGTGATGCTGCTTTTTTGTACGCAGGCTGATGGAGCATCGCCTAACGAGCCTTTCCTCCTCGGTGACCGGCCTGCTCGCAACCCTGCGTGCTGACGGGGCGCGCCAGCGAGGCGCGTGGACGTCCTCCCGCGCGGAGGAATGACGAACGAGCCCGGGGCAAAGTGCAGGGCGGCTCGTTCAGCCCCCGGACTCTGAAGCAAGAGGGCAAAAGGGTGACGCAGCGGCGCGTTTATGGAGGCTTTGTGAGGAAGGGGGAAGGTTGAGCGGCCGCCTTGGGCGTCTGCTAAGCACCGCGGGAGTTTCTGAGCGTGTGCCCAGTTCTGGAGCGCTGAGCCAGGCCTCTCCGTGGGCTGGGAGGGAGGTAAACGCTCGTGTTTTGAGCAGAAAGTATGAGAGGAGGAGGTCAGGGGAGTGCTGGGCTCCCAGCTGGGTGCAGAGACCTTGAAACTCCTGCTCTCTGCTCAGCTCAATTCATTATTAAAGGCAGGGATGAAGTGTTGGCTCTCATGTGCTTCGCTCCTCTCTTCCTCTAACAGATCTGAAGAGGTGTGTCCTCTTGGCTCTTTTAAGCACTTAAAGTTTCCAGAATGAATTTAAAAAAAAAAAAAAACAAACCACACAACCCCACAATCTGTTCCCCAAGCTTTCAAAGCTGCTTCTGGAGTGATTTTATCCTTCCCCCACAGCCGTTAGTGCCATTTCTCGAGGCAGC